GTATAATTGCACTCTCCACAAAAACCGAAAACCAAAACCAAAAAAAACCACCATCAAGTCGATTCCGACTCATAGTGACCTCATAGGGTTTCCAAGGCTGTAACTCTCTACAAAGGAGACTGCCACATCTTTCTCCCATGGAGCCACTGGTGGTTTCAAACTGCCTACCTTTCGGTTAGCAGTCGATTGCTTTCACCACTGCACCACCAGGGCTCCTTCAAGTGTAAGTACAGGGCAGACCCGAGAAACAATCCCTGAGAGCTGGGTGTCTAACTTGTCTAAAATGCTGTGACTCCTCATATTCCTTGTCTACCAAAAATAACTGACTACTCCTGCTGACTGAGCAATTAGAGCTTGAGGGGAAGTGAATGGATACCATGAGCCTTGCTGGGGACCTAGGGATAGAAGCTTCCTAGAAAGACCACACAAGGGCAGTGGTGTTCAGTGCTAGAATTCTCACCCTCCATGCCGGAGACCCAGCTTTGATTGCCAGTCAATATACCTCATGTACCACCACCACTGTCTGTCAGTGGAGGCGTGTGTGTTGCTATGATGCTGAACAGATTTCAGCAGAGCTTCCAGACTAAGACAGGCTAGAAAGAAAGGCCTGGTGATCTACTTCTGAAAATCAGCCAGTGAAAACCCTATGGATCACAACAATCCAATCTCCAATCAATTAGGGGGGTGGCGCAGGACTGGGCAACATTTCATTCCATTGTGCGTGGGGTCACCATGAGTCCAGGGCCAATTTGACAGTGGCTAACAACAACACATAGCTGGCTGAGGCATGGGTGCCCCAGTAAGAGATGGGGTGGGGAGAGATACAGAGGGAAGAAAGAGGAGTATTTCCTGACTCCTTGACAAGCAAACCCAGTCCTGAGCTCAGCCTGGCTCTGACAACCCTGGATCACAGGAACTCTGAAGTCCCTGTGTGCTTCTGCTCCCCACCTCCCCATTCCCCAGTTTCTTCAGCTGTCTACTCTTACCTAGCCTGATAAAGGGGGTCACCTAAGCCAGTCTGGAAGGGTGGGTGGAGATTTCAGAACGCTTCTGAGAGTGATTCAGCCAAGGCTGTAACAGCCACTTTGTACAGATGTGTGAATTTGCCCAGCCACATCTCACAAAGCACTTTTCTAATCCAGCTGACACACACAGGGCAGGGCTGCCAAGGTTGAGATCCTCATACCTGTTTTTGTGTTTCTGCAGATACAGGCTGATGCCTGGCTGAGATTCTAACACAGGGAGCTCATCTAGGTCCTGTGCTCTGTCCCCTGCTTCCTGAGGCTTCATGGGCATCTCCAAGGCCCCCCATTCAAGACCCAAGGGTCAAAACCCATTTGCTTTTCCTTATCCTGACAAAGACTCCCCGGATGATGCCAACGGTTAAGCGCTCGACTGCTAGCCAGTGTTGGAGGTTCAAGTTCACCTAGAGGTTCTTCAGAAGAAAGGCCTGGCCATCTGCTTCTGAAAAATCAGCCATTGGAAATCCTGTGAGCACAGTTCTACTCTAACACTCATGGGGTCGCCATGAATCAGAATCAACTTGACCACGACTGGGTTTGTTGGCTGGCTGGTTATCCTGACAATAAGACGGAGGGGACTGTGAGGTCTCTGCCTGGACATCAGGAACTTGGGGCTAGAGAGAACAGGGTTTGCTGATCATGCTGTGCTGAGCTCGTTCCAAAGCAGTTAATAAAGCCCGAAACTCGCCCAGGCCTCTCTGGTTAGGCCCCAGCCCAGCCATCCATTGCAGTCAGAGAGGGTTCCCAGGCCACCCTCAAACATCTGGCTTGCCCACGCCTGCTCCAGCGGCTTTGTTTATGCAGTTAACGTGTGTGATGACCCTCCTGCAGCGTCTTCTCTGTCAAGTAGCCTAACTGCCATGAAGACTGCCACAGCCAGGGAGGTTGCAAAGTGTTTGATTTCTCAGAGTGTCTGCCAAACTGAAAATGAGCAGCAGGCTCCGTCATATTGCCACGGTTAAACATCAACTGTTTAAATATCAACCATGGAATTCGCAAATGGGTAAATACCATATTGTCTACAGCAGCCAAAGAACTTGTTCAAAAACAGCTGCTTAGTATGTGCCAGAACAGGGCCTTAGTTACAGGGCAACAGAGACAGACCAGCCAAATACATATTCTGATTGTCGTAAACTTAACTACAGCTGGGAGATTAATTGAAATAGCTTTCCTGCCAAAATTCCATAAGCAGAGAAATAAGAACGTGCTGCAGAAAGCCAGTTCCCTTTTTGAGATGGAAGTTAAATACATTCAGAGTAACCTGAGATACCCCAGGCCTCTCCAGCTTGGACACAGAAGTGAGGTTATATTAGCCACATGCCACTCCATGCCCCAAGTGCTGAGCCGGGAAGGGCTCCATGTGTATCTCTGGGAGCACCAGTAATGTATGTCAGGTTCTCATGAACAAAGTTGGTCTCACCAAGCGTCCACAGACCTGGCTGCTTCCTGTACCCCGGGCACGGGACTGTGAACTGGTGCCTTGTGAGGTCAAGGGGATGCCTCCCCATCACCCGGCAGTTGTACCCCAGGGCCTTCCAGGACTTAGCGAGGGTGCCCGTAAGAGTTTAACTCCCCACTCCCCACCTCCATAATGCTCAGGGAGGGCTGGTTGCTGCTGTTAGGTGCCATGCACAATGGATCAGACCATTGTGATCTGCAGTTTTCACTGGCTGATTTTTTAGAAGTAGATTGCCAGGCCTTTCTTCCTAGCTTGTCTTAGTCTGGAAGCTCTGGTGAAACCTGTTTAACATCATAGCAACGCTCAAGCCTCCATCTGGACCAGGAGACAAATCTAAACAACGGATACCACAGGTTACTCAGGATCACCCCTAGCTCCCCAATGGCCAAGACTTCATTACTAGGTCCAGCTAGTCTTGCCCGACTGCTTCTTCCCTGGGAGACTTATTTCTCAGCAACCCCCAAGGTCCTCATGTAAACAGAGTCATGATTGGTCAAGTCCTTATGTCGGCCAAACCTGTGAATCCCAGCTTGGGCTCAAACAGAATCTCTCATTTCAAAAGGAATTAGACTTTTTCTTTATTAATATTGCCTTAAGAGGTGATACTTAATGGACTGTAGTCACAGAAAAGCAATTTTTGACAACACAATACAAGGTGTTACTGGTGTCTTTAACTAATGCTTGTGATGTTGCAATAGGTGAGAATAAAATTAATCTAATCCATTCTATCTACAAAACAATCACTTTAATTTAGAGAATACATACTTTTCTAAAAACTATGGAATACCCAAAGGAAAAAAAAAAAGTGTGACCTTTGGTAAATCACCACACATCTCTGCCCTCAAAGGGACGGGAAGAAATAACCCTGCATCCCTATAAACTCTAACACTCAGTGAGGTCTATAATCCCTACCTTCCCAGATACATCCTGGCCATAAACTCCATAAAAGGGTAGAAGAATGAGACACACATTCTTGATGGAGGAATGCGTCACTCTGGGATGTACAAGAGAATACATTTGTCAAACAAATTTGAACTTTTCTAATGGCATTTACATCTATTAGCACACAGCATCCTCTACATCTGTGAGAAAGGCAGGATGGATATTAACTGCTTTTCAAATATAAACACTGAAACTCAGGTAAGGCGAGGGGCTTCCAAGGTCATAGAAAAGTCTATGGAATATCCAGCTCTCTCTTGCCAGCCCCAACTTCAGGAGTGATTGAGAGGCCAATGAATAGAATAGAGTATGGCAGAGTGCTTATGGAGTCAAAGAAAAGCAAAGCCACCATGGGAATTATGGTCAATAGATAAACCCCAAACATGAGGCCAACGGGGTCCGCCCAGCATAACTGGACACATCTTGCTTCTAAAAGCAATGTCTGTCTGGTTGGAGACTGAGGACTGCTTAGCATCACTTGATTTGGAGCCAACTGGGGACATCGCAGAGTTGGATCCCTTCTCACTGTTGTCTGACAAATATCAGCTGCGGTCCAGCCAGGAACTGTTCTACAGCCAACTCTGCTCCCCAAGGCAACCTTTAACAAAGTACAGGGGAGAAACTCCTCCATTTCTCAGTAGGGCACCTTTACTCCCAACTGCCACCCTATAAGCCCTTCAAGGAAAAAGCATCTTAGCAGCAGGCTTAGGTGCCTCAAGGGGCAGTGGTCACCACCAAGCCCTGCTGGGCTGGTTATGAAGCTAATTTCATCTTGGTTTCCAATTCTCCCTTGTACACTCTCCTCAGATGCCGGGCTGGGATTCTGCACTCCACATTCCCGCTTTACTCCCTGATACATTCTGCAGGGAGCACCTTCTCCTTGTTTGTTCCCTATTTTGCATTCTGTTTACTTTCTACTGACATCTTGCTCCTGTCAGCCGTCCCCAGCAATGCTTCTTCTTCACCCCAGCGATAGTAATTTCTTCCAGAAGCATTTGAATCCAGTTTGCAGTTTCTCTAACATTCACAAAACCAACTTTATGGTACCCCTCAGAGATACCAGCACCAACCAAACAGCATCTCCAGCTCAGAGACACCACCCCACCCAACCTCAGAAGCAAGACCCAGCTCCTAAGCTTCTTCTCCAAGTGTCTAACTTTTAATAAGTACAATATCTTCCCTTTGCTCCCCTAGCCTTAGGGTAATAACTGCATTCTGCAGTTGCTACCTCCGTGATACCTTAGTGTTCTCTTTCTGCCTTTTCAGTTACCTGATTAATAATTCTTTAAATTCGGTTAAAATTACTGGTATGGTTTCTGTCTCCTGCATGGCTAATACATCCACAGTTAGGTCTCAAGCATCTCTGGAGGGAACCGGAGCCTGGGATAGTCCAGCCCCACCAGACTGCGGATGCTGGAGGGAATGACCCACCCACTCAAGACTCACTTTCTGATCTGGTTTATCTCAGCCAACCTCTGCATGATCAGGGGCAAGTTCAAACTGAAAGGACATAGTGAAATTTGTGGCAAATCAAGCTTAATTGCCATACAATCTTATGGGATGGCTGCAGAAATGCTTTGCTAACCATTGGAATGTTTCTCTTTGCTGGTCAGCAGTGAACTGTACGGAAGCATCCTCATCATGGGCTTTCGGGAGAAGATGATCTTGTTATAGTTTGTGGTGGGACATTCTCTGGAATCTGTAATAAAGTGTGTGGGCTCTGGGAGAACAGTGGGAGCCATGGCCATTACGGAGTAAGTGCCCCAAACCGATAACATGGTCTCTGACAGCGTGTCCTTCAACACAACCTCACTGGAGGATTTGGAGGGCTTCCACCACTTCAGCTGAATGATGTTGGGAGGCTTGCCGTGCCTCGACCCCCGCCGGGTTTCCTCGCTCGTTTGCACACATTCCAGCTCTCGAGCTCTGTTTTTCTCAACTAGTCTTTTCACCACTGGGGAGGTGTACGTGACATAGGCTGGCCAAGGGTCATGCTTTTCAAGCAGATTCAGGGGAAGGCCAATGTTTTCGGTGAGTTCTACCAGCAAAGAGAAACAGAGGAAACTTAAAGCACTCATATACAATTATTCAACTCTTAAGAGAATCGGAGGATATTGGAACCCTTTGATTCTTCAAAATCCTCCCCATCGTACATAATAACCCTTCCACCCCGTGTTCTGTAGGAATGAAATCTAGTCCAAAGTTGGGGGACAGAATGACATTCTGAAGAGTATAGCAATTAGAGAATAGCATAATGGTGAAGGCCAGGGACCTCGGGGTCTAGCAGTCTTGCTTTCAAATCTTTGTGTGACCTCAGACAAGTTATTTAACCTCTGAACTTCCACTTCTTCACCAGTAAGGCTATTGTGAGGATTAAATGAAATAATACACTTAAAGGGCTTAGAAGAGTATAGTTTAGGGTTTGAAAGCATTGGCTCTGAAGCCAGACTGTGTGTTCAAACTCCTACTCTACCTCCTTACTAACTGTGGGCCTTAGACAAGTTTCTGAATCTTTCTAAACCTCAGTTGCCTCATCTGTAAACAAGTGATTAAAATAAGACCAACTTCATAGTTTTAATCCTTGAGGATTAAAACCAAAAACCAAATCAGTTGCCATCAAGTTGATTCTGACTCATGGCAACTCCATGTGTTAACAGAGTAGAACTGTGCTTCATAAGGTTTTCCTTTTTTCAGGGCAGGGGGAGGGTTGGGGTCTTCAGGAAAGAACTGGAATGCATGGTAGACAAACTATAAGAGCTGTAACACTCTTCATAGGACTTTCAATGGCTGATTTTTCAGAAGCAGATCACCAGGCCTTTCTTTGAGGTGACTCTGAGTGGACTTGAACCTTCAACCTTTCAGTTAGCAGTTGAGGGCATTAACCATCTGCACCACCCAGGGACTCCTAAGGATTAAAGGAGATCATTTATGTAAAGCTTTTAGAGCAGTACCTGCCATGCAGTAATTAGCAAATGGTAACTATTAACATTTTGGCTATGTTTCTGCCGATGCTATTTCATTTAATCTTTATTAGCCGTATAAAGTGGGTATTATCCCCATTTAACAGAAGGTCAAACCAAGGGTGACTAGCTAGTTCAGCTAGCAAGTGGTGGATTTGAACTCAAGTCTCACTAGCTCAAAAACTCACAAGTTTTTCATGACTACTGCTAGCCAGAAGTTATGGGTGCTTGGAGCAGAGGAGCTTTACTAGAAATTCTACCCATTAGCTTAGCAAACAGCCTGTTCCCCTGCGGATAGCAAATCATGGGCTAGCAGTCCCTCCCTCCTTCCATTTGCAGCTTCACTATATCTTGAAGAAATGCCTCAAAATTTCTCTCCTGCAGCTGCCACTTTCCCCTGTTTTCCAAAGCGGGGCATACTTGCCCTACTTTTATACTTCTTTGGCCATTCCAACAGGAGTTTGGGAGGGAAGAGAGTTAAATGACTCTTCTTGCCGTCTCCAACCTGAAGTCAATGAAAACCACTGTAAATGGGGATAATGCAGGCAGGAGGTGGATGACAGAGTTCCTGCTAGGCATCTGGGAGCTGGTACTGTCTGGGGGGTGGATCTGTTAGCGAAGAATGTGCTGTGGAAGGGTTCCATCTCCCTTTATGAGTCATACATTACTCTTTCTGAGGAAGATAAGATGTGTGACACTAGAAAATATGCATCAAAGCTTCCTAACACAGACTTGACTGTTTATCCCTTTTTATTTCAAGCAAATGTAAAATGCAAACATCTTGGCATGGTAGGGTATTTGCGTGAATCTGCCAGTGGCAAAACTAAAACCATCTGGAGTAAAATGAGCAGAAACCCCTTTTCATCCTCCTAGAAGAATTCTCTTAGATAAGGTGACATTCTCTACCAATGTAACAAGAGAGGCTACACATTGAACCCTAACGCTATGTCTTCCCACTCCAAACCTTCCAACCTTGGCCAGCCCCATCCCAGCAGATTGCATTGTTAATGGCCCACAACCCTACCTTCGTCCATCTTCATCTTTCTTGGGTCACTTCTCTCTTTCATGTTTTTAGTGTTCTCCATGCCAATGGTCCAAATGCCTTTGGGAAAATACACTTATTAGCCAGGGCCTCCCCATACCGACCTGAGAAGAAAGTAGTTAGTAGTCCCCCAGGGATCCTGAGTCTGAAGGTCTACAAGAGGCCAAGATGAGTCCACCGTCAGAGGAGATGATGACGTCTCCTGCGGAGCTGAAGAGAGGCTGGGGGAGCCCAGCACAAGTCACGACAACCTCCAAGTGTCCTGCTTTCTGGTCTCCTAGTTGTAAAGGAGCAAGTGATGGGGCAGGCCTGGTGGCTGTATGGGGGTTGGACCATAAAGGCAGGTGGAGAAAATATGTCCCAACTTCAACACTATGCCATCTTCTCTGCCAGAGGCCAAGTTTTAGGCCCTTTAATAGTCAAGTTCTCACCCTCCAGCCTGCACTGTTGTGTCTGGAATGGGGCAGGGGAGGGAGCTGCCAGGAGTTAGATGTATGGGCAGGCTTAGGAAAGAAAGCATGGGCCCCAGGCAGAGGCTGGATGAGGGACAGCTTCATGGTTTATCTGGCCATGCCAGTGGGCAATCTGATGAGAACTTACAATCCAGTGGTTCTCAAACTTGAGTGTTCAACCATCTGGAGAACTTGTTAAAAAACAGATTGCTGGGCTCCACCTCTACAGTTGCTGATTCAGCAACCACTGCTGTAAAGCAAAAAGCACTGAAGATTTTTAAGGTAACTATTATTAATTAGAAGGTCAGCGAAAAAGAGAAAGAACCTCAATGAGATGGATTGACACGGTGGCTGCAAGAATGGCCTCAAACATAGCAATGATTGCAAGGATGGCGCAGGACAGGGCAGTGTTTTGTTCTGTTGTACACAGGGTCGCTGTGACTCAAAACTGACTCAATGGTACCTAACAACAACAACATTATTAACTCCATTACCTATCTGTCAGATTGTTGTACTGTGGGGGCTTGTGTGTTGCTGTAATGCTGGAAGCTATGCCACTGATATTTCAAATACCAGTAGGATCACCCATGGTGGACAGGGCTCAGCAGAGCTTCTAGAGTAAGACAGACTAGGGAGAAAGGCCTAGTAATCTACTTCTGAAAATTAGCCAATGAAAATTCGATGGATCACCACAGAATATTGTCCTATATAGTGCTGGACTATGACGTGTCTATTAGTTTGTCATACAGCGGTGTCTTACATGTTGCTGTGATGCTGGAAGATATGCCACTATTATTTCAAATACGAGCAGAGTCATTCATGGTTGACAGGTGTCCAACAGAATGCGGAAATTATTGAACAATATAATTAATATTACACAAGTAAAATTTTGCTGAAGATAATTCAAAAACGGTTGTAGCAGTACCTCAACAGGGAACTGCCAGAAATTCAACCCAGATTCAAAAGAGGATGTGGAACTAGGGATATCATTGCTAATGTCAGATGGATCTTAGCTGAAAGCAGAGAATACTAGAAAGATGTTTACCTGTGTTTTATTGATTATGTAAAGGCATTTGACTATGTGGATCATAACAAATTATGGATAACATTGCAAAGAATGGAAATTCCAAAACGCTTAATTGTGCTCATGCAGAACCTGTACATAGACCAAGAGGCAGTTGTTTGAACAGAACAAGGGGATACTGCATGGTTTCAAATGAGGAAAGGTATGTGTCAGTGTTGTATCCTTTCACTGTACTTACTCAATCTGTATGCTGAGCAAACAATCTGAGATGCTGGACTATATGAAGAAGAACAAAGCATCAGAATTGGAGAAAGACTCATCAACAAACTGCGATATGCCGATGACACAGCCTTGCTTGCTGAAAGTGAAGAGGACTTGAAGCACTTACTGATGAAGATCAAAGACTACAGCCTTCAGTATGGATTACACCTCAATATAAAGAAAATAAAAATTCTCACAACTGGACCAATAAGCAACATCACGATAAACAGAAAAAATATTGAAGTTGTCAAGGATTTCATTTCACTTGGATCCACAATCAATACCCATGGAAGCTGCAGTCAGGAAATCAAACGACACATTGCAGTGGGTAAATCTGCTGCAAAAGATCTCTTTAAAGTGTTGAAAAAGCAAATATGTCACTTTAAGGACTAAGGCGCACCTGACCCAAGCCGTGGCATTTTGAATCGCCTCATATGCATTCGAAAGCTGGACAATGAATAAGGAAGATAGGAGAAGAATTGATACCTTTGAATTATGGTGTTGGCAAAGAATACTGAATATACCATGGCTGCCAGAAGAGCGAACAAGTCTGTCTTGGAAGAAGTAGAGCCAGAAAGTGCTCCTTGGAAGCAAGGACGGCAAGATTTGTCTAATGTACTTTGGACACATTATCAGAAGGGACCAGTCCCTGGAGAAGGACATCATGCTTGGTAAGGTAAAGGGTCAGCAAAAAGAGGAAGACCCTCGATTAGATGGATCGACACAGTGGCTGCAACAGTGGGCTCAAACATAGCAATGATTGTGAGGACCAGGCAGTGTTTTGTTCTGTTGTACATAGGGTCACTTTGGGTCGGGACTCAATGGCACCTAACAACAACAACATAGTGCTGGACAATGAGACCCATAGATTGGAAGGACTCGAAATACACAGTGGCCACAAAAATGGACTCAAGCATACCAATAATCATGAAGATGGCACAGGACTGGGCAATGTCTCATTCTGTTGCATATGGGGTCGCCATGAGTCAGAGATGACTCAGTGGCAACAAACAACAACATTATTAATTATATAGACATAGAAAATGGCTCCAGATCTTTTCAGTTCCTTTCCAGCTCTAAGACACATGCTTTTATCCAAGAATTCGTTTTTCTATATGTTCAGTATTGCCATCTCCATATCTAAAATAGGGTTAATCAATCATGCCAGATAGGCAAAAATATTTTGAGTTGGTGTTATTTTGGGAGTTATGGATAATTTCTTTCATCCTTGCTTCTCAATTTGTGGTTACTGAACCCCAAAGCCTCAGAGAAGCTGAGTCCTTAGTGAATCTTTGTCTCAATCATCTTGCTCAGACCCTCTCACCATATCTCCTTGGACCCCTGCGTGGCTGGCAGAACAAT